TAACAAGTAATTCCTAAGTCTAGTAACAGACGATGTTTACATCTTCACGGTAACTCCAAATCTAATGCCACTTCACACGATAACTTCTAATGTGAAAAATAAATGACTATCATACACAATAGTCCTAATTGGAATAATAAAAGGCAAAGAACATGATATCAAACATATCATATCTGTGGGTCCATAAATAATGAGTGAAATGAATTCTAAGACTACCACAATTCGCCCCAAAGCTCCCGTCTACAGCGGCAAAGCGAAACGACACCCGAACGTCGAAAGGACAAAATCATCCAATTTTACCATATTGTCCAAAACTGATAACACCTCAGGGTCTCATCGTCAACAACAAATTGTCTTTTGAAGCCGTCGCTGGAATCCTCATAAAGCGCTGCCACGTGCTCCACCGGTGTTATGCGCATGGGCTTCACTCGTCGCCACGAGCGCCGCCGTCGGACCTCACGCACTGGCCACACTAATGCGTCTCAACTAGTTGAGTTCGCCGGTGGTCTCCGTTTCTCCAACAGGTACGTGGTTAGGCCACAAAATGCAAAAAAAATCCGATCGCCTTGATTTCAAACTCGACAGTTTCTTCTCCAAATTTCTGCCCTATTTTTAAACATATTTTTGGTCAATTTTTTCACAAATTTCTTAGCCCAACATGCTCTGATACTATTTGTTGCGAAAATCCCTCGAGAAATCTTTAATGTTGGGTTTAGAAAAGTCAACCAAACGAACGCCACCAATCCCAAGCTTGACCTAAAACTCTCAAACTTTGGGTTGCCACAAGTCTTCTCTTTTTACCCACAAAGGAGAACACTGTAGCAGTGGTTTGCAAAAGGAAGAAAGAAAATGGAAGAAAGCAATGTTTGAATCTCATACAAGAACCTTCAAACTTTCGGTTGCCTTTCTCTGTTTTTCTTTCCTCTCTTGCTCACACACACAAAGGAACACGACTTGGAGAGGAGAACATTTATGACTTAGGTCATATAATTCACATTTTACCATCCAAGTCCAATAATCCAACAATAACTTGGGCCCTCCAAATAGTATTGGTCGTTTTCGGGTCAAGTCAAGTCTATGGTGTCAATAAATTATCTAACATATGTTTTAAATTATCGTCTGAATTTATTGGGTATCAAAACTCAACAATGGTGAACACGGGAGGGTATTTGATTCAAATTAAAATTTGAATTTTTTACTAATTAGATTACGTTAAGGCCCTGTTTGAGAGGAATTAAAT